GATACACTGTAGAGGAACAGGGCAGGGTGTACGGATGATATACTGTAGAGGAACAGGGGAGGGGCTGTAGGTATGATACACTGTAATACAGAGATGGTGTCAGGCGGGAGGGGTGTGGGATGATACACTGTTAGAGGACAGAGAGCTGGTAGGGAAGGGGTGTTAGGGATAGTCACTGATAGCAGACAGGAGGGTGCTAGGGTGGAGGGTGTAGGGTGAGATACACTGTAAGAGAAGAGAGGGTAGGGGAGCATCCCTCCACTCATCTCACCCTTCGCTGTTAGGGATGATCTACCACGTGTACGAGAGCAGAGAGGGCTTCGTAGGCGCCCGAGGGTATGTAGGGATGCTGAACACTGTAGAGACAGACGCCGACTGTAGGGGGGGGAGGCGGCTGTAGGATGACTATCACTGTAAGACAGGAGGGGATGTAGTGGGCGGAGGGGTGGAGTAGGTCCGATCACTAACTGTAGAGACAGAGAGGGTTGAGGGGCGAGTGGTGTAGGGATCGATACACTGTAGAGACGAGAGCGGCTCTCACGGGGGGAGGGCCTGTAAGGGATATACACTGTTCAGCGACAGGGAAGGAGTGTAGCGGATGATACACCTTGAAAAACAGAGAGGGTGTAGCCACTGTCGGGGGAGGGGGTAGGCGCATATACACTGCTAGAGACCAGGGAGGGTGAGGCGGCGGGAGGGCTGTAGGGACTGATACACTGATAGAACAGAGCAGGCGGTAGCGGGGGGGGGTCAGGGATGATACACTGTAGAGACAGAGAGGCGTAGGGGGAGGGCTGTAGGGCGATGATCGCCTGTAGGACCAGATAGGGTGTAGGAGGAGGCGGCTGTAGGGGATGTGCCAAAATAGACCAGCAGCTGACGCCAGACTCTGATCCGGATCTGACCCCATGTTGTTCTCTCAGACACTTGATATCGGATCAATCAGAGCAGTTCACTATGACTCTAGTCCACACTGACATTGACATGACTTGACACGGACACGTTCTTGATGGTGACACTCTTAATGACATCTCGCTACTTCCTAGAAGCTGGCCCAGACGCAGAGGATTTGTAGCCTTTTAATATTTGGAAACATTCTGTTAACTCAGTCATGGTTTTGTTCTTTCATTTTTCGTTTCGTAATCTAGGCTATGCTATTGCGAAATTATTTGCAAAACACCATTACCCATAGTTAGAATCACAATAAATTATTTAATAAGTTAGCAACCGGGCCACCTGAAAAAAAAAAAACAAAAAAGTCTCTTCCCCCCTCATCTTGCGCCACCGCTGAATCCTCATCCACCAAGTGGGGCCGGCCTGGCCACCTGGAAAGAAAAAGGTTAAGGCGCAAGCCTGCAGCGCCACTTGAACGCGTTTCAATAATATACGCGCGGGCGTCTGTGTGCTGCTGCTGCGCTGCACGGCGACAGTTAAACTTAAACTATATGGGACAGAATTATTCGGTCTATAGCACACATAGATTAGACCGAGTGGCATCCACACTAATTTCTCCTGGTATTTGTTGTAATATCAATACTACGACGAAATGGCACTATTACCCATTCGGAGAGTAGTCTCAGTAGACGAAATGGGTGTATTGCCCATTCTGAGAGTGTACGAAATGGGAAGTAGGCCAACTGGGAAGTTCAAGGAATCTTTATTTAAAGTCGGTATGTTTACAACATGAGAAACATAAGCTCTGGTGAGCTTTTAAGACCGACCAACTAACATAAGTAGACCAATAACGGTTGGCGTTAAATGGCAATAAATGTTACCGTAGGTTAAACTTTTTCTCATAAATAACAGTCTTTATAAAATCCAAGTTACTATTATCGAAGAGGAAAAGAGAGAAGTTGCTCTAATATTAAATAGACGGATCAACACTGCAGATCGCTGTAGGAAAAGCCTCAAAAGAAGCTAAACTTAAAGGGATACTTAGAAGATGGCACATTAAATTAAGTAAAATAAAATAAGTCATGCGCTAGATACGAGTCACGAGACCTCCCAATCTTCCAAGTTCAAACACTGAAACAAAACTGTCAAGTGAGAACTCTACGGTATCGTCCGCATAACAATAATGCTGTGGAGCGACGGAAACTATACAGTTTCATAAATAGAGGCATTCTGGGTAGTTTGTATAAAATAATGTGCACAGTAGGGTAAAGATTGAGTACAGTCCCTCTTGCTTTATGAAGCCTGTTAGTAGCACTTGATCATCTGAGCATGATCATTGCTATCGACATATGCCATCTTCAACGGATCCCTTTAAGTTTAGCTTCTTCATTTCTGTCATTTTATATTGGAATTCTCTTTCTTCCTCTTTGGTTAGTTGAAAATTTCAAGCTTTTCTACTGCGATCCTTTGTCTCGATCAGTTTTTGATATAGTCCCTTGGACTTTGCAGACTAATCTTTATGAGGGTATGAGGTTACAGCCTACCTAAGAAAATATGACACCTCCACATTCCACCTATACTGCATTTCTTGCAGACATGGAATTTCTATCATTACAGAGTAGAATGTTAGGTAAAAATTTATGAACGTCATAATTTTATGCACTAACTTCAGAATCATACCTATGCACAAATTATTCGACCATTGTTTCTTGTGGCTAACTGTGTAGGTCAGATTGCCTAAAATCACATCCAACTGTATGATGGTGGAAAACTGCAATTCGTGCATAGACCGGGAAGTCATTGGGTGAAA